AATTGCAGCAGTCTAGAAACTCCACAAATGAGGCACCTTTTTACTGCGATTTTCCGGGAAAAGTAAATAAAACTCCCTTGTTTTAAATCCAGGTAATAGAGTAGTTTTGTTTTCCAGCAGAACCTTGGGGTGCCAATGAAACAGGGACCCAAGTGACCAGAGCGCTCCATGAGGATACAGAATAAAGAGACAGAGAACTGACAGCCCAGTTGCCTCATCACACAAACCAGGGGATGATTACCTGAAACTAAAAAAGCAGTAACTGACACCTCTGCTAACACATTTCTGATTAGCAGAAGGCAGCAAAAAGACATCAACTTCCTCCTAAGGTCCTTAGATTTTCAAGAACATTTTCAGAACATCCAGAATTCTTATCATATCTTTGTACCCATCAGCCTCGGAGTGTGTTTTTCCTTCGGATGCAATATTAAAACTTTCTGTGATAGCAAACTTCAGATTGAGCACATTTTGCAACAAAAGAGCAGAAAAGTACAGACTGAAGAAATAAAACTGGCTCACTTCCCAGGAAACTACGGCGCTATTAAGCATGACGATGAGATTCCCACAACCACAAAGGAAGGGAAAGCATTGGAAATAGACTGAAAAGGTTCAAAGATAAATTCACTGCTATTTTGAGTGCAAGCAACCCCCGTGATTTCAGTAATATGTACTCCTTTGAACTAGCTGATACGAGGATTGTTTACCAGAAAGGAACACTGGTAAAGTAACATACATAACACATACAAACTACTGGCTGGACTTTTTTTTTGTTTTAATAGAAACCTGTAAATGCAAACAATGCACAGGGGAAAAAATGTGTTTTCTTTCATTCTGTTTTATAGAGTATCTATAAATATTTCACTCACGTTTCTGTGCATGTATCGCAAACACCAGGTTTCCTTTGGAGCAGCTGTGGTAGATACGTGCACTGCATGTTACACCTCCCAGCTTGTGGTGAACGTGAACCTGACAAGGCTCTGATGTGGATCTTTGCAACTGCAAATAGAAACGTGCATTTTAGAATCATAGAATGGTTCAGGTTTTAAGGCACCTTAAAGATCATCTATTTCCAGCCCTCCCTGCCATGGGCAGGGACACCTCCCACCAGACCAGATGGTTCAAAGCCCCATCCAGCCTGGCCTTGAACACCTCCAGGGATGGGGCAGTCACAACTTCTCTGGGCAACCTGGGCCAGGGTCTCACCACCCTCACAGTACAGAATTTCTTTCTAATATCTAACCTAAATCTCCCTTCTTTCAACTTAGAACGACTACCCCTCATCCTATCACTCCCCTCCCTGATAAAAAGTCCCTCCCCATCTCTCCTGTAGGCCTCCTTTAGGTACTGGAAGGTTGTTATGCGGTCTCCCCAGAGCCTTCTCTTCTCCAGGCTGAACAACCCCAACTCTCTCAGCCTATAATTTAATACTGTCCATCATCTACTCACTGTCTTAGAAAAATACTGGGTGCTCACTGAAATGGAGTCGAGCAGCTGACTTTATCGCCACCTTCTTCACTAGGGACCACGAGGAGTCTTAGCGGTGTCATGCTCTCTCTCTGGAACACTCACACCAGTGCAGCTCCCTCAAAGCCTTTCTGTTAGTCATCCTTAGCTTGGAAGTGGCCACGTACCTCGCTATGCAAGTGAAACTCAGCAGAAGTCAAAATCATCCTGGCATCCAGACAGCTACGTCCGCTCTACCTTGTCTCAACTCCAAGGCGTCGAGTGCAACTAACTCATTGGTGAGCAGAACTAGCAAGGAGATGCAGCTTTTCTCCTGGAAAAGAAATCACCCCAGGGATACTTTAACCAAAGTCCTTTCTCACGCTACAAACACAATTTTAACAGGTCTGCCACTTAACGCTACATTATTTTATTATTTTTACCAAATATTAGGCAAAATAAGGATAAACTCACATGCCCTCTAAAAACCGTAAGTTTTTAGACCATATAGAAAGACAGGAGAGCTAGAAAATAAAAGACAAGCAAAAATGCATTCAAAACTCTTAATATTTGATTTTTAAACCAATTTGGGAAGGTAATTTATTATAATAAAGAGGCAAAATTACAAGCACCTTGCCTTTACTTCTGCGTCCCAGAATGGCAGAGCTGAATTTAATTGAAGAGTTTACTAATTTTTCCCATTGAACCATAGATACAGATAAAATGAGGTGTGAATTCGATATTTTATTATTGTAGCTTTTCATACGCAGTTAAACCTGCATATGAAACAGGTGAACAGAAACAGGAACGAACAGCTTTCAGGGAATCAACTCCTCCAGAGAAGTTTAGGCCAATGTAAAAATGTTGAGGTTGAGGAAGCTACTCTGTTCCACAGGCTACTTCATCTGGACCAAAAGATACTTATAAAAATAAGGATCACAGAACTATAAATAATACTGAGGTTTTTTGCAAAGACTTTTTATACACTAAAAAACAACCCAACTTGTTAGCTGGTACATAGAATCTCCACCTGGTGGTGAGTCCTGCCACAGCAAACTTACTTTGAAGAAAAATTCTCGTTCCAATATATAACCAGTTCTTTATTACAGTTAATCCCAAAAGAAGAAGTGGGGAAGGGCATCATTCAGAAAAACAGCACTATCCCATCTCCCTGATTTTCCATCATCTTGGAAAGCTGAGGAATCCTTTCAGTTTTACCACAGTTATCAGGCACACAAGTGACCTTCCCTGACCGAAAACAGACTTGCACCAGACGTAGGGTAGGGTGGAAGGTGAACTATGCTGTTTTTTTCAGCCACAAAAAGTGCCACTTCCCAAGGAGAAGTGTCCTCTGGTCAAGGCTGAAGTTCTGCCCTGTTGGTCAGTTTGTACATTAGTTATTTATAATAATGGAAAACTTTAAGCAGTATCAGCTACTCATATCCCCAGGGTCCTCCAAATCATAGCATAGTTAGCTTTGTAATATCATTTTAGGGGTAATTCTCTAGCTGCACACAGTTAGTTCAGTTTTCCTCTTAACCTTGCTGGTTCTATACCCTAGAAACAAATTCTAGATTACATTTTCCTATGCACCTCATTAAAATGTAACATCTCACTTGCCTCATGTTTTCAGCAAAGTCTTATTACCTAACAGCATCAATAAAAGCAGTGTAAAATGGAGATATATAATCTATGAAGCCAAACCATTGATCTACAGCATGGTGCATACTGTGCATCCCTCCCTATACCCTGTTCCACCGGGCATTACGGGCGTTTCATAATTAGTCAATCTGGCTCACAACACCTCGTAATGCAGGAACGAAGCATCTCCCTTTCACACTTGGGAAGATCGAGCCACAGTTACTGGATTTGCAGGGGAGGATCAGGCTCCCCACAGCCACCCTCTGCTTCAAGCAGTTTTTTTATATTCGTACGTGTGTAAACATGTAAATAAATAATATATGCCTTTTCCTATGCCAGAAGAATCATGCGACTACAGACTTTCGTGCAGCATTCCTTAAAACATCTAGGATGACCCACTGCTGATGTACACAAATTATTCACCAACCACAGCGCAATGCTTCTGGGCCAAAAATAAGATTTTGTTTAAACTTGACCAAATCCACCCCCAGCGTATTCAGTAGTCACTGATTTGCAATTTAAGGACAATCAGCATTGAACTGAAACAGCAATGGATTTATTTTATTTCATTTTTCCCTCTGGTGTTTAATGGTGACATCAAGGGGGAAAGTGCAAGCGGCGGGCAGACCGCAGCAAGACCCCAGCACCGCGCTGTGGAGAATGACACAGACCTCTTACATCCTACTTATGTCATAATACTTTTTTCCATGTGCAACAAAGATTAAAAATAGCAGTAGATTTAAAAAAGAAAAAACAAAAATCTATGACAAAAATGTAAAGCATCTTCACAGGGCAGCCAGGAAACGAGCCACTCTACAGAGCAGTGGGGTGCATTTTAAAGCAAAAGCACTGGGAAAAAGTCACTGATCCTTTCAAAATAAGATGACAAATAACAGGATTTGGTCTCCTCGGAAGCACAAGGATATAGAAATGAAATTAAATGTGCTCAGTATCCATTTCTCCCTTCTGCACACACCCATTTGCAACACGCGTGCTTTGCAGCGAGCCCCCTTTAGCACATACAGAGGAAAAAAACCCCAAAATCTCCTCCAACCACTTCTTCAATGAACGTATTAAATTTACGGTGCTAACTAACAATCTAAAGCTCAGTCTCCCGAGAGCGCCCGACGCCGTGTCCCACACAACGGGGGGACCCCAGGCCTCAGTGGGACACCCACGGTATCACTGCGCTTTATGACCATTTAATTTCTGCTGCCGGGCAGAAAAAGACTTCTGACGGGATTTCATTGCACTTTTTCAGTCAGAAAAGCGCGTTTTCGGCCGCGGCTGCAGCGGAGCCCCAGGGCGGCCAGATGCAGTAACCGAGCTGCGTTTTGAAAACAAAATTTGGAAAAGGGGCGGTCTAGGAGCGGCGGGGGGGGGGTTTAAAAAATTCGGGGGGTAATTTTAGCATTTCTTTGGCCCCCTATCGCTCGGGACAAGGCGAGCCGCCAGCCGCCCTGAGGCCCCGGGCAGGCTCCCCGCCTCCCTGCCCTGAGGAGACGCCGGCGGCGCCAAAGGGGGGGAACGGGATGAGCCCGGGCGCTGAGGAGCCAAAGCGCCTCCTCCACTTCCCCGAGGCCGCCAGGGGCTCAAAGGGGACGGGGGTCCCCGCAGCACCCCCACACCAAAGGCGAGAAGAGCCGCGAGGGACGCCCCACGCCGCCGCCGCCACCGCCACCTCAGCGGCCCCCGCCGACAGCGTGACGGCAGCCGGGGGCGAGTACAGGGCCCCGGTCCCTGGCAGGTGGGAACTGACGGCGGCGACGGCGGCGGCGGCGGCGGGAGGGGCGGAGAGGGGCGGCGCGAAAGCGGCGCGAAATACCGCATTTCGCGAGTTTCCGGCGGGCGGAGTGCTGGGTGAGTCACCGACGAGCACCGGGGATAAATAGGCGGGCTCCTACCTGGGAGCGGCACTGAGCTCTCGGCGCCGAGCACCAGCAGAGCCTGAGCTACAGCCCCGACAACAGCCCCGCCGGGACATGATCCTGCCCTGCGCCCTGCTGGCCGCTCTCCTGGCTGCCGGCCACGCAGGTGAGTCCCCTCCTGGGGGCAGGAGCGAGGCCCAGCCCGCGGGGGAACGCCGTTCGGACCGTCCGTGGGGTCTTCTGTTAATTCATTATTATTATTAATTTTCGTGTTCTGTATCCTCTGCGCGGTTTCTCGAGTACTTGATGTATGGTAGAAGGGGTGTCAGGCCTCCGTTACCTCGTGCCTGAGGTAATCCCCCCCCTCTTCTGAGGAGGTGAGGGAGGCACAGGCAAGTTCTTACGCTGTTGTTAATGACTACTGCCTCACTTGGCCCAAAGACTAGTGCCAACGGATACTCTGTCCTCCTGACAATGCCCTGAAGTTTAATGTTTGTCTGCTTGAGTTTGGGAAGTCCGCTTAGCGGCAGCTGCGTTCTCATCTGGCGATGTGGGATGCTAATCAGAGCGTTTTGGTTCCTTCCAGCCAACCCTTGCTGCTCAAACCCCTGCCAGAACAGAGGAGTGTGCGTGACGACAGGATTCAATCAGTATGAATGCGACTGCACGAGGACGGGATATTACGGGGAAAACTGCATGACACGTAAGTATCTCAAATCTCTTCTCTCGTGGAAATGAAATTGGAGAACTCGCTTCTGTTCTCTGTAGCTAACTTACAGCAATCTGTCCATTGGTGCTCGCAGCGGAATTCTTCACGTGGCTGAAGCTAACGTTGAAACCTTCGCCAAACACTGTCCACTACATCCTCACCCACTTCAAAGGAGCCTGGAATATTGTCAACAACATTCCCTTCTTACGAGATGCTATTATGAGATATGTGTTAACATGTAAGTATAAGTTCTCTTATCTAGTCCTCTTAATTGGCAAAAGTTACTCGTAGGACTCCAGAATATTTCACCTGATTGGCCCATGTGTAAAGTTAGCAAGCTGAAATGTGCTAATGTTAAAACGCTCTAACCAAAACTTAAGATTTCTGCATGATGCAGGCTTATATAAAACATGCTTTCAAATGGAAATGCATTTTGCTCTAATATTCAAGAGAATCTAAGATTTTGGTACTGTAAACTTTGCATCAAACTGCTCATGTTAATAGTTGGATCCAGCTGGTAGTCCAGGACCTAGTCCTGTTATTCAGTAACTGTAATCCCATTTAACATCAGTAGATGATAAGTGTGGAATTTGTGAATGCAGCTGCTGCCAAAATATAGGGAAAAGATCTGGTCTTCTGACTTCTTTTGAGACTAAAATGTACACTTTAAAAAAAATAAATACTCTTTTCTCTTACAGCAAGATCACACTTGATCGACAGCCCACCAACCTACAATAGTGATTATAGTTATAAAAGCTGGGAAGCTTATTCCAATCTTTCTTACTACACAAGAAGTCTTCCACCAGTAGGACTTGACTGTCCAACACCAATGGGTGTTAAAGGTAAGGATTAAACCAAATGTGTAATGCATAATTCTAGGAATTTCTACTTATCCTCTTCAAAAATACCACAAAACCTGCTTGTCTATAACCTCAGTATGGCTGACTTTAAGAATAGCCATGTACACTCTGTAAAGACCTAAAAGATAACAATTCTGGTTCTCGTTATTGAGTTACATGCTAAAACCAGAGAATCTAGAAGTTTCTAATAAAATCAAGAAAGCAAGCATAGAAAAGCAGATAATTCCCCGTACTTGTAAGCTGCTATACTTTGATGGTACATTTAAAGTCTTAAGCATTTTTGTTGTTAGCAACAAAATTAAGCATTGCTTAAACGTAGTTGTCTTGAATATCTCACTGTTTCTTTCTCTTGCAGGTAAGAAGGAGCTTCCAGATTCAAAACTGATCGTGGAAAAGTTTTTGCTAAGGAAAAAATTTATTCCTGACCCACAAGGCACAAATGTGATGTTCACATTCTTTGCCCAACACTTCACTCATCAGTTCTTTAAGACGGACCACAAAAAAGGACCTGGCTTCACCAAAGCTCTTGGCCACGGGGTACGATCACAGCTCTAACTTGAACACAGCGCTTAGTTCTTAGGAGCTACATAGCAGCCAGAATTGTATCTTACAGGTTGTCAGGGTACACAAACACCAGTGCACATGCTGTGCAATGCTGTTTGCCACAAGCTGATGGGCTTACCCTTTCTGTAATTTCTCCTTAGGCAGCATTCCAGCACTCAATAGCACCTCTTCCTGGACCAGAACCGCTTGTGTAAAGCATGTGGTTCTGTTGAAAATACCTGCTTTCACCTAAAGCATGTTACATCTAGCGAGTATCCAGAACTCAGTCAGTTGCAAAGAGCTGTATCCAGCACTGTTAAGTATTTTATGTGCTGCCAATGGAAGGGACTTAGGTTTAAAAAGAAGTTTAAAGGCAGACTTGGATTTAGGATCTTTATCTACAAAACAAGCAGCCTTTGGACAAAGAATTCTTCAGTATAAGTGCAATGTGTATGTCTAAAACAAAGCTATAAAATGTATTTGTGTCTACAAAGAGCCATCTGCATAATAGAAAGCTGCCGACACTTTAAACAGGGTCGTTTTAAATTGCCAGTCAATTTAACAACTTGTTCTTTTGTAGAGGTGGCTGCAGATGCCAGGAAATAATTTGGCTTCATCTTTAAATACCAGTGTATTATAGGGTAACAATAATATAATTAAAAGATAAATGTCTAAGGTATGAACTCATATGGGTATCCATAGCAGTGGGACATATCCTAAAATAGCAAGAAGATGCGGGGTGGCTTCATGTTCCAAATGCTTTTATTTTATAGGTTGACTTGAACCATATTTATGGAGAGACTCTGGAGAGACAACTTAAGCTGAGACTTCTAAAAGATGGAAAGCTAAAATACCAGGTACGTCTCATCTTAAACTTCCTACCTTCTTATTGGATGACATACTTGCTAAAACTAGTGCTCTGTGCATGGTATAGTTGTTCTAAAGCGTAAGCCTAAAGTCAGTACTATCAGAGTCAACACAGCTTAACTCATAAGCATCATAGCTTACGGCTTCTTTTTCTTCTTTCTTTCTCCTCCCCTTCTGGCAGATGATTGATGGAGAAATGTATCCACCAACGGTGAAGGACACTCAGGCAGAAATGATCTACCCTCCTCACGTACCTGAACACTTGCAGTTTTCTGTCGGGCAGGAGGTGTTTGGTTTGGTCCCAGGCTTGATGATGTATGCCACAATATGGCTGAGGGAACACAACCGGGTCTGTGACATCCTGAAACAGGAGCATCCAGAGTGGGATGATGAGCAGCTGTTCCAGACCACTAGACTCATATTGATAGGTGAGACTTGTACTGAGAAGGGGAGAACCTTCTCTTGAGTGTGGCACTTCTACCCATTATCTACTGCAGTTGCAGTCGGTGTAGTAAGAGGGAAAGCTATTACTTAAACTGGTGTGTGAGGGCATACATCTGAGCCTTCGTGACTTCCCACTGAGATTGCATTGAGATACTGCTTCCTCCCAGCTATGTTAAAGACAGAACTAAAGAAAACTGAGCTAAGTAATACTTGATTCCCTTATCTCAGGTAAACAGAACTGAAAGCAGTGAAAAAGGGGGAAGTTAAGGTTCACTTCTCCAAGAGACCATGTGAGCCTAGATGACCTCAGACTCTTAGATCTTGTGGGTTGTTTCCCCCCCCCC